TTTTTTATTCATCCACTAAAATTCAAATGTATATTTTTTATACTTATATAGTCAATGACACTTGATGTTAATACAATTTTTTGCCTACTAAATTTTTTATATTACCTGGCATAAAACGTACTATGTATAATAGAAATACGTTGTGTAACATACAAAGACTATGTGTAAAATTGACTGAGCTTATAATTCAGAAACAAAAAATCAAATTTCCTTCCTCCTACAAACACATCTTTATTTTTCTTATAATAAATTCCAGCTTGATACCTTCATGCGTTTTTGAGAAAAAGGGTATTAACAGACAGACGGACAACATATCCTATAAGGATTCTGTTTTTTTTCCTATACGGAACCCTAAAAACATTGCAGTTTACAAGTTCATATACAAAATATTACGTATCATAGATACTCATATCTAATTTTTTTCGACATTAAAACATATGTAAAAATTTTACATGAAATATGTAAAACGAGAAGATCGACAGGTCACGTGTCAAGTGATAGCGACTACAAATTGCCCAAATAAATAGTAAATACACGTGACTCGGAAAACTACTGACTATTAATGTGTCCGTCGCCATTTCGTTTTCTTTTTCTCCGGACACGATCTTTGAAAATTCTAATAAGTTTCATTTCAGTTTTTGTTTTATTCGAATATACTAGAAAACACAAACAAACTTAATGCATACGCCACATTATACTTATTTTAATTGCGAACACGAGTATGAAGAATTTCAACATTACAATATTGTTGTTTATTGCATATGTCGTGTGAGGTCGTTTGAGTTTGTAGTTGAATGATTTTAAATTCAATTAACACAAAGATTCTCTGTTTTATCTTTTATATACAAAATGTCATTTATCGTCAACTTTCCATCGTCGGTAAAGAATGAAAATTAAAAAAATCTTTATTATTATATTACACACAAAGTTTAAAATTCAATGTTGCCTTGGCTCCTTAACAAGAAATACCTGTATTTAAGGAGCAAAGGACTTCCCTTACATGTAATTGCATAATTATTAGAATTAATTAGGTTATGAATAAACAATAACAGAGTCGGAATATGTCAAACTTACAATTTAATTTCAATATGTATAAGTATTTCATACATAAACAATACGTATAAAAAATATTAATGTTTTAATTCGAGATAGGAACAGGTAGTGATGGCTTTGTAAGCTTCATAGAAACGTGAAATGTCCCATTTGATGGGAATCTGTTTCGCTGTAAATTAAACATAGCTTTAAGTAAAGTATTTATTAAAGTACACTTAAACATAAGTGTTTAAATTATATAGTACTAACAATAAATTAAATACAAAGTTATATGCAAAAAAACTAGTTGTATTTTAGAATCGATCGAATTAAAATAGGAAGGTCAGAAGACAAAAGTCCTCTAGTTAACCTGAACGGTGGGTCGCACGTGACTACTAGATATTTTATGGTCTGAATTAATTTTGTTTATTACACAATACAGAGAGCGTCGCTGGCGCAGGAATTAAGCTTACGACCGGACCGAAGGGAATTCTACATGTCCAGGTTCGATCTCCGCCATGTATTACTGAAAATTGAAGAGTTCAATTTTCGAATTTCATATGTACTACATCAGACGCCCTTACGTTGAAGGATAATCGTAATGTAATCAACACATATCTACAAAGAATAATCACACTTTCGTGAGACAGTGTGAGCGACGGGCCGCGTCCACGAAATATTACCAGTCCCCCTCAAGGAAGGGCCCCCGGTGGGCTCGGAACTAGTCGGTGCCGTCACCGGACGAATATACGTGAGTGTTTTGCCGTTTTTATATAAGTTTTTCTACGAAGAAATTCGAAAATATACGTGTGAAGTCGACCCCCAAAGGGCCAACGTGGTTGATAATCCTAGTCACCCCTAACTCGAATAGGCTCAGAATCCCTCGGTAGGGATTATTCTTTAGCTACTTTATCATAGTTAAAGTATAAAATAAAAATTAAAACATTGTACCATACTTAAAGATGCCATTATGATTCTAGTTTCATGAAAAACTACGAGAAAAGCTGAGATATTTTTCATCTATAAAGATTCAGTAAATTAAAAGAATACACGTCAAATATGGTAAATAAAATGCACATTGTTTTAAAAATGTTTAATTTTCATCAGTTCATTGAATAACAAAAGTTACACGTGAGCCGAGGTAATGTCAAAGGACTTGAGCTATAATTTCGCCGCGAAAAATCTACGAACAAATATGAAACAGGACATTATAAAAGAATTTTTCGGCAAAGATTTTTTCAATAATATTCTAAAAAATATATATTTAACGTAAATTTAACAAAGTTTGTTTTGCTGCAGAAAAATTTGATAAAATCATTCGCTAGTGTCTCAGAAGACGTACCCGAAGTAATTTGACAATCTGATTAACAATTTCTGCTCCTAAGCAGAAGCGAATATTTACAAAGAAATAGTTTTAATGGCATATTCATATTATTTTGTGTCATTCATTAAAATACATATTTAATTTCGTTTATATTTTAAGAGGTTGCTGATCTCTAAATATGTGAACTTTTTAAATTATCGTTAAAAAAACGTACAAGTGTTAAAAATAAACTTTCTCATACTTTCTTAAATTGAATTATATTTTCTCATTTTAAAATAAAAAATTACTATTTTTTTTATAAAATTAATTGTAGTCACGTGTAGTATCTATCTTGTAAGTCCCATAAATGTGATACATACATTTAAAGAAGGAACGACCTCTTGACCGGACGTCACTCCATTACCTACTACATATTCCTAGGCCGATTCTATTGAATTTGCACGATATGAAACATTGTTAATATTCAACTTTACATCTTAAATTAAACTATTGTAGATTGAAAAACTAATTAAAATGTGTATACTTACGACTTTGTGACAATAAAAAAAATTTCAAAGTTGGTAATGTAATTTTAAGTTCATATCAAACCTTAGATGAAATAATCTTTTCTGTTTTTAGTAATGAAAAATAGAAACGTTTGCTTACTTTATTTAATTAAACAGAACTGAAGTAACAGCTAGAGACTAATAGCTAATCTACTCTTTTATAAAAGGTTATTTGGTTCTATAGGTAATATTCGACTTGCACAATTACACGCAGAACTCGCGTAATACTGGCCACAAAGCTAAGCTTTATTTGCTTTTAAAAAGAAAACATAAAACATCGTCACTTTAAAAAAAAAGTATATTTAAGTAAAATCTTCAAGGTGTTTCAAATTATCACAATTGACTAATCAATAAAGTCAGATGTACCCGTCGTCCGCCCTTGTACGATCCGAATAAGTGTGCGGCTCCACGTTTTCCAATGTCTTTTTAATCCAGTCACATGTTTAGTTAAAACTACCTACGCGTGGATGACAACCTCCACCTCGGTCACGTGTACCTCATCGCCTGAACAGATGCAAATGAGAGCAAGCAAAAGTATTCAAATAACTCTCCTATTAGCCGACCTGAACTGACTAAATATCGCATTTGAATATCCACATTCACTATCGCTAATCATTCTGTATTATTTTAATTTACAATTTGTTTGTGGCAGAAGACTACATAATTGAATTTAAGTTTATTCTGGTTAAAAACAAGAAAGTCACATATAAATATTTTGTATTACTACTTGATAAGCTTGGCCAGCATTACAGCCACAGGAAAATGTTTAACAATAGCCAACATGACTACACTGATGCTTCCTTCCCTTTTCCGTCTCGTTCCGCTTTTCTCTTCCTTTTTTTTTGATAAAACGTAAACCTACACGAGACGCTCCCGTAGTAACTATGTCTAAGAATTATAACATTGTAGAGCTAAATCTGAATTTTCTGAAATGATCAACCTGTCAGGTTCAAAAATCTGATTCATCACCTTTAACCAAAAACGTATTTGATAGCATTTATTATTCAAATTTGCAGGCAAAGTAAAAAATGCTAACCAAATTCAGTATAAATTTCTAATCACAGAATACGGTAAAGGAAGTAGAGAGTATGAATGTATTACCAATTCTATTGAGCTTAACAAAATCAACTTAAGTGGGCATAAAATATGTATAATTTATAACGTGGTCACGTGTGAACTTAAACATTGTAGAGAAGACAGGAAGATATGATGACGAAATAACTAAGGAAACGTGAGAGATATTCACAGGTTCATTCCTTTACATTCCCGGTCGTTCCCGGTCACTCACCGCCGGCTGCTTGTGTAAGCCTCACAGTTTCCGGATTGTTCTTATGAAAAAACTTGATTTCGTAACATTGAAAATAGAAATCAGTTCTTACTGCATACATTCTTACAAAATACACGAGGAAAATGTCATTTATTTGGAAATATGTGCAAAATGTATTCTATTGATTTAGTTATTGGAATAAATTGAGATTACTCGTGTTGCACATATTTTACTTATTACGTATTTAAAGAAAAAATTAAAAATTTATTTTTGTTTCGATTATATTGGCATTGAATCAAACGGGCGTTAATCACATTCGATAGAATAGTTTCTAAATAATGATAGGTAAGTCTCTTATCTCGGCCATCTTAAACAATGCACATTAAATTACCTTTGTTCGTTAAACTATTGTTAAAGAATTTAGTTATATGCAGGTACTGTTTGTTACCTAACGTAAAGTACATTGCCGTGTGTGCGATGTGTATTTTGTATAAAATATTCTGTCTTTCAAATATTTACTTACAAAGAATTGGTTTTCCCCTTCAAAAAACCCAATCATTTAAATATTTACAGAGGTGGAAAATGTTTTTTTTTTAATAATAGCAAAACGACTCATTATATAACGAAGAAAGGTTTTTAGTTCTTTAGAAGAAAGTTGTAACTATAATATATTAATAATTACTATATAACTATATTAAGGTCCCTTATCTGTAACTTATTTTAATATAATTGACAAAGTACAAAAAATCAAAATAATAAAGTGGAGCTTCGAAATAATTAATTTAACCAACATGATATCTGTATGACAGTTGTAAATATTCTACCTACTCACCTTAACCTTAGCGGCTGGTTTATTTTTACGGAGAGCATTTATGCCGTTCCGAAACTGTAACAAGAAAGTCATTAATTAAATATCACAAAGCAATAATATTCTTGTTGAAAGAACGATGTGTTCAACAATATATATTTAATTCATAAATGAGATAATGTACGACATAATATTCGATTATATTCCACAAATTACAGAATGTCTGACTTAAAACAATTTAAGGCTTTATCTCAAAAAGGTTCATTGAAGAACTTAAATCTTCCAACTTATATCGCCTAATATGATATTTTCCTATCAAAAGATGGCAAACGAGCAAGCGAAAGTAAGCAGCTGTGTCGATCTTGACGGTCCCAGACGGAATTTACAGTCCAGATTGATAAAATACTGGCGGTATTGGGCAGAAATGGATGTCCGTGGTCTCTTCCTACCCCTCTGGGTTACGGGCGAGAGTTATGTTGTTGAGGTTAACAATAAAATTGAGGTTATGTTATTTTAATACTTACTGCACAATTGAAACAACTAAACAGCGAGGGTGATGGCGTTGCTTGTGATGTGGGTGTGCCGAGGTAGCTTCGTAGGTCAGTGGTATCGCTCACAACAGCGGCACAGTTCACCTGACAATCGTTGTTTTTATTAATAAAATATTTTTTTTAAGTAGCGTTTAATAAATGGCAGAATTATAGATTATATATTAGAATTATCAATGTAACTTTACCCCCCTCTAACTTTTTTAAATCCGTAGACAAAATACGGGATCTAAACTACGGCAATACAAGTATTGGGCACGCTTGCTCGTTATTTTTTTTTTATATAAAAAACTGGCAAGTTTGAATACGGCTGGTATGAGTCTTTGTCATGTGTATCAGTAATGTAAACAAATACGCTTCTAAAATTATTCACATCTTGCGCTTCAACAATTATTCACACGGATGGTATTTCCTAGATAAACAATTCCCTTGTATTATTTTCTTGCATCAAAACAATAATTCTAATTGAATATGAAATATTGTAGCCTTTTACTGGTATATTATGCTCGTATTTATAACAATTCCTATGTAAGTTTCTAAATTGAATCTTTCCTTAATCTATATTTGTCTTTTTATTACGAAAATTATTTGCCTGAAGTCAGTTTCATCTCGCTTTTAACTCTGTGAGCTTAATAATGACTGTAAATGCTTCGTAACAATGTGTCACACACGTGTTAAATCAAGTTTTAACCTTTTATATACTAATTAGTAATAGCTATAAAAGACATCTTATTAAAAAAACATTTATGTACTTAATCATATGAATGAAAAACTATCACAATTATACCTTACTTCGTTCTTTTTAATTTCTTAAATACGCATTAAAGTATAAACATAAAAATAAATGGAGAACGCCATTTAAAATGTTGCAATTATTTCAAGGTCAATGTCAACTAAAGAATTAACACATTACGCATTACCTCTTGAATTAGTTAACATGCCATAACAATGTAATTTTATTTATATTTAGTCGCTGAAGCACACGTTGAACTGTTTATTACATGCAAGCACAAAGAAGTTTTACTTTGTTTAAGGCTGCAAGCTTTAAGATGCACCCAAAAGGTTTGGTAAGCTTCTTACGTTGTCAATTTAGAGACTTTAGACATTACACATAATTAATCATTGATGAACTGTTAGATAATAATAGCAAAAGCATCTATGCTGGTCGCTTCCACAAAACGGGTTGAATGCACTAGTATATACTGTGTACAGTCGGTGCGACCTTGTCGCTGCGCGCACGCAGGCTGCGGCCCGATAGCGCAGCCGGTCCGCCACTCGCCTCTCACCAGTAGGTACTCACGTTCGCACTCGTCACGTCGCTGCCATACACCGCGGAATAACTTGTCGGCGGAAAGTTGTACTGCGGCGGCGACATTTCGGCCGATAGGCCAGGTCGCGGTACTCGCGAGTCACCAGCCGTACACAAACGCGATCCCACAACGGGTCAATCACACGGGCCGGCGCTCCATCGCTCCTCGTGCAGGGCTGGCGCTATCGCCGCGCGGGTGGCGAGCTCACTGGCGCGGCGGTCGGCGCACGCGCAGACGCGGATTATCGTACTTTATGTCGATAATGAGTAACGCAAACTTCCCCGTCGTCAATTGCGTAGTGTACTCATCGACACCGGACCTTATCGGCGAGCGTGTGCGAATACGATAAGTGAGCCGCGCAGACGGGCGCAGCACCGCACGACGCACATCCAGCGCGGCCGCGACACACTGCGGTTGTTGATCATATTTATTTTATATCATACCTACATTATTTTCGATAAATAAACAATTGACGTTAGCGCAGATGGAGCTACCATCATCGTGAATACATATTAGAATGTTATTGTCTGTTTGCAATGGACGTTAAATTGTTTGATTTAACAATGGTCGAGGCAAACATTTCTTAATTAAATATTATTGAGTTTAGTGATTACAGTACTTGTGATTAGCATGTAATCATAATGTAACTTTGTTTACGCTCGTCATAAGTTTATATAAAATGTTATTTATTTAATGATCAAGAAATTTACGACTATTTAATTCAACAGTATTATTGAGACTGCTTGCTCATACTTGAGCAGGTAGGAAACGGATCATAAGCAATCTATCAACTTAGACCATTCACATTGGTTATGTAAATTTCATCTAAGATATAAATAATTAACTTAACCATTACCCACGTCATACTTATATAGAAACAGGAAACATTTGAAAAAACAAACAGATTATTAAAACGTTTATTTTAAAATTCCGTCTCACAATCAGTTTTAACATCGCCGGCATGTTGGTCAAAGTACATTTTATTCAATTATATTTATTAATATACAAACCAATTATAAAATCACAGAAATTAAAGGTTACATACATAAAAAATGTCAATAAAAATATAAAAATGAAAAGAACCTCCTCAGTTTTGAAGTCGGTTAAAAAAAATGACTATCACAATACTTCATCAAAAGATACAAAAGAATACAAAAAGGTTTACAAATGCATAAGATGTAGATCTGTTTTACTTCTTTTACAAACAATATAAAAACTCGTAATTCAGACTTTTTAGTAGAGATAACACTGTTCATAAAATAATTCATTAGAATAGAGAAGTGAAATTGCAAACCATAATCGGCTCCAATCTTTCGTGAGACAACGAAATTACAAATATAGTCTTTTTAAGTATAACTACTAACTAAGGAATGTTCATTAATTATAAAACATATAGTTCCAAATACTGACTACCCATTATCATATTGTTTCACAATAAGGCTTTGTCACATGGCTTGCAGCACATTGTATGTATATGTGAGGAGCTGCAGCGCTTGCTGTGCATCTTCTGCAGTCGACCGATGGTGCCGCTGCAGCGCTGACTGCACAGCCGAGGTCACTCCAGCCCCTCGCAGTACTAGTTTTGCCTGAAAATACATGGAAATTCATTTGGTTTCGTCACTAAGTCAAACTTGTATATACATTTGTTAACTTCTTTCACTCTCTTTGATAAAACAGAAATTATAGTCCAATCTCAAAGCGGGTATAAGCAGACAGGATAACTGCCGACATTACTCTATTCCTAGATGAAGTCATAGCGTGTTTGTACCCTGTGATTGTTGGCGGCGAGTGCCCAGGCGGCGCGCGCGGCTAGCACCACCTCTGACGTGTTGCCCGTCAACAGCGCCGCGGACAGGAACTCCAACAGATCCGCTGTTAAACAGAGCATAATTAAACTTTTAAGTTCGCAAAATGCTTTGCACTATACAATACAGACAGGGGACAGGAAGCTCAGAAACGATATGATATTTCCCATTCCTATGCATCCACTGCCAAATCCACTTTCCCTTTCCATCCTTTCCTTTTAAACACAGGAGTAAAATTAGATGCCTTCATAATATGTGTGTATACTGACGTGCGTGCAGGAATGCGGCGCGGTGGTGGTGCGCGGCGTGCGTGAGCGCGGGCAGAAGGCGCGGGTGCGGTGGACGCAGCGCCGGTAGCGCCAGCAGCGCCGCTCCCCCGTCAGCATGCCGCGCCAGCGCCGTGCACAGCCGCGCCCACGCACCGCACGCCGCGCTCCACGAGGCCCCACGACCGCACGTCTTACTCATGAATGATAATACTTCGCTCTGTGAAATAAAACAAAAATCTATATTAAAAACAACACGATATATTTTTTTAATATAATGTTATTTCGAGGTACGTAGCCATCGAATAAACAAGATATTTGTATCTTAAATTCGAATTTATGCAAATAATACTTTTGCGTTTTTACAAATAAAACCATGGGAACAAAAGAAGAACCTCTTGCAATGTTCTACAAGCCTGTTATTATTTGTGGATGAATTTTATCTCAATCAGCAGCCATGTTATAGAATTGAGTGTGTGGTACCTTTAGCAGTATGGCCCTGCAGTGGTGGTGCGCGGCGCAGTGTCGCAGCGTGCGCAGCGCGGGCAGCAGCGGCCCGCCGCCGCGCCCCACAACACGGCACACCTCGCCTACCAGATTGCGTCCGCCCACGCACGCACACATGCACGCCCACGCTGAAAAATTAATCCATTTAAATTTTTCATCCAATAATTAATTATTCATTAAAACCATGATTGTCGTTTTCCAGATTACCATTTAGTGTGATATTTTTCATTCGTCATAATATTTTATTTATTCGTTATAATAATAGCAGAAAAAGAATAACGCAGATAATAAGGTTACCTTTGGGGCAATCATTGGTAAATGTGACCAATAGATGCATGATGGCGGTCCTCAGCTGTTCCGTCATCATGCACCACGGCCACAGCTTGTTGAGGCTGCAAGTTATATTATCTGCAAAGGCTTCCTTAGCGGCCGGGCAGTCCAACATCAAACTGCTTATTAAGGTTAGCAGCCAATACAATGTGTTCAGAACTGGTTCCTGGAAATTAAAAATCGATATATTAGATTTTTGCGACAAAGTAAAATATCTATGAAAGAGTAAGGCAAAAGTGAAAACTAAGCTACAGCGCCATCTAGATTCACGGTGTTAAATTAAAACACTATAATCGAAACAGACTTTATCGTTAAAAATTTTTTACAAACAGTAATCTATCAGCAAGTTCCCTGACTAATCTGTTTTTGAAGTTTAAGTAAGTACTAAAAGAAAATCACTAGCGTACTAATCGTTGATTTCCGAGACTAAAATCTTTGTATAAAACATATCTTCATGCCTGTCATTATCTTTGACAAAACGGAGATATGTTTTATACGGGAATTTTGTTGTCCAAAAGTAAGGATAAGTGACGTACATGGTTAGCGTTCCTGATGACGTCAGCGGGCTTGCCGTGCATGGCGAGGTGGTCGCGCGTCACCCTCAACGCGGCCAGCAACGCGCGCGGCAACTGCCGGTGCGTGCCGTACGCCCGGCAGCGCGCGCAGCACGACACCAACACGCACAGGCATGAACTCACGCGCACCCACGCCTCCTCTACAATACAAAATAATATTTAATTTATGCAAAATTCTAAATATATTTCCTTTATTTATTCACGTAGGAACACTATCAAACAGCACAATTTTTTTAAACATTTGAATATTCTATGACCATTTTGGTTGGATTTGTAGCCTTCGGCGTGGAATTGGTTGTGTCGTGATTGGTTAGTCATAAAGGGGAAAGAATTGATGGTTTCTTTATTTGTTGATTAACCGTTTTACACAAACCTTGCTTGATTTTTTAACAAAAATGTGACCCATTTTACTGGATACTTTTTAGTACATTTAACAGAAGTACCTTGGCTGGCTTCGCATTTTCTCTTATCAAATAGTTCTTGGAATGTGTTTATGAGCAGCTTGCACAACTCCTCGCACAGATACTCGGGCTGGCAGTCGTCGCGACCCGAGTCGCCGGCACCCGACCTAGCGCTTTGAACCACATTCTCATATTTCATATTTGAGAAAAATTCGATGAAAGATTCGTCACTAGTTTTGTCCGCATGTTTTTTATTCGATGCAGATTTGATCAGCTGCGTCAGGCAATGCATCGCTGCGTCTTGAAGTTCTGAAAATTTATATAAGTTTATTTATTTATAGCTCTGCACATATCAACCTTTTTTTGTTCCAGTTTAAATCAATCAATTACTTGTAAAGAAAATTGATTAACATAAAAACCTATTAATACTCCAAACAAGCAAGTTCTGTACTCGTATCGATAAGAGTAATTAATCTTAAATTATTACTATAAGACATACCATCATCGTCTGTCTGTAGAGAATGCATCACTATAGTAAAGAAGGGCATGGCTTGTCTGTGTATAAGGTCTGACCACACGACGTCACCGGCAGAGCGCTCCGGTAACAAAGCTGCGAGCAATGAGAACGTCTGCGTACGTGCGGACTTCTCGTCATCGTCGCCTGGAAAATTATAACATAAAAATATGATATGTATGTAGCTATAGAAATAAAAAAGGAAATGTTTAGATGGATAGATTTTTGTTTGAAGGTATCTCTAGAAATGCTGCATGGATCTCGATGAAATTTGAGATAGATGTAGAACATAGTCTGGACGAACACAGAGCCTTTGTGTTTTTCCTTCATACTATTTAAGTTTTTTTAATATCGCGCGAACGGTGTCGCAAGCGGCTGCTAGTAACATTATAAATGCGATTGGCTAAATGTTTGGATGGACGGATGTTTATTGAAGGTGTCTCCAGAACGACTGGATGAGTCTCGTTGAAATTTGGCATAGAATTTAGTTTGAAGGAACACAAACTATCTGCCAATTAAGTTTTTTTTTCAATCACACGCGGACGTAATCGCTGGCATTAGCGAGTAATTCAATAAGGCCAAGTCAATTTCCTCTTACTACCACTAGACTTTGGCTGTCGAGATACGAAATTAGGATCATCAAATTAAATTCTTATAATGATGTAATTTAAAGGTCATATTATTGAAGTGGTATCGTTTGCTTAAATCGTAAAGTACGATAATCGTTATCAGTTCACAACAAAGTGATTTATCATCGGCAATACTCCGCAGTTTCATGTGAGATAGATAACAGAAACAATACAATGTGTCGATACAATCTGTATGTGAATGACAGCACTTATGTGATGATTTTTATCTCAACAAAACAACGTAAAATAACTCTCTATATCTGAACTTATCTTTTAACCAAAAATATAAATACCGATTTTTAGGATTTAAAACTTGTAGAGATTTATATTTTGTTATGATTTGGAAAACTTTAACTTTAAATATCTAACAATAAAGCTAAAAGATCGAGTGCGCTGAGGGCCGCTTCCGCGAAATAATACCAGTACCACTCATCCTGATGAAGGACCCCCGATGGGCTCGAAACTAGTCGGTGCCGCCACCGTCCAAATATACGTGAGTGTTTAGCCGTTTTTATATCAGTTTAACTAAAAGATCCATCGTCAGTTTACAAATTTATTCATCTAATTCGTATTAAACTGATACTTTATTGAAACTATCTTACTAAGCAGATAACTGACTGATATATTTTTACTATGTTGTAATTACAGTTAAAAAGATAAAAATAGCAAATCAAGCAACACTGTCGCTAAGCAATTTTATGTTGACGTATCTATTTGCAGTATGGTTACTGAAAATACTTGAATATGCAAATTATTATCCATCCAATCATTTTGAGAATCGCGTGAAACTTTTAATACGCCCGGAAATAGATCATTTACTATAACATAAATTTAAACAATACCTTCGTCAGTCGTTGTCAAAGTGAGGAGCAAATTGACCAGACAGTCTTTAGTATTGGCGAGTGATGCGCGCACGCATTTGCGCGTCGCAGCCGCGGCGAGCGCGCGGCAAACCGCGGCGCGAACGCGGTGACGCTGCTCCAAGTTGCCACAACTCCATGACGCACATCTGTTATTAAATAAATTTTACTTTAAAAAAATCACATCATAATTGATTGGGACTAAACACAGAAAAGGCGGCATAGTAATCTACCTGAGCCAGTAAACCGGCTTACTATTTTGCCTTAACTTGGACTCGATGTTATGAACCCATAATAATTACTTAAAAAAAAACAAACATGAAGGAAATCGTAATTGGTAAACACTAGGCCACTTACAATAATACGCGTCATTAACGTTCACGTACTTAACTTGATAGGTAATTACATTCGTCGCGGTCACTAGCAGCTATTAAAATCGCATTATCATCGCGACTGTACGTAAAAAATTGTACTACCAAAAAATATTACATAAACTAAGCCTTCCGCATCTCAGTGATTCTGCCAAATCAAGATTGTTTGAAGGTCTCTTTAGAACAGCTGCATGGATGTCGCTTAAATTTGCCATAGATGTAGAACATCGCTTGGAAGGACATATACGTTACTAATCAAGTTTTTTTTCCATGCGAACGGAGTAGCGGGCGATAGCTAGTCAAGAATAATTTATCACCATAACAATAACATTTCCAAACATAGACCACGTTACCTGAACATGATTCTATATACTCCTTGTTCATTCCACACGTCGACAGGGCAGTTTTTGAAGGCGTTGATATTGTGCAGAACATCTGCAACGCCTACCACCAGGTCTACCGACGGTGGCGGCTGAACGACTTCCTCTGACGGCGACAGCCGGAGTTCCCCGCTCTTACGTGCTCGTACCTCCAACTCCGATCGACGCTCCAATACAGATAAAGGCATGTTGGGCTCTAAACATATAATTTTACACTTATACAATGAAAGTTATAGTAAGAAATAGCATTATGAGTCATAGAACGATAAACTTCGAAAAGATTTTTCAGAGACATAGTATATGACATTGTCTTGTAAAATATTAGGTACATGTATGCGTATTTATCGGGGTCGTAACTGCATTTATTCTTACTTTACGAGAACTGGTGATAAAGTAAATAACTAAAGCTGAAGTTCTTAAACCCTTATTAATAAAACAAGATTAAATGGAATGCCACTTTATCATATCAATAAATAGCATTCTTATTCTGTGTGTCAGCATATCTTATCTAAACATTATTTCCCAGAGTTAACTGACTATTATCTAGTTCTAAGAAAATGAAATCATTTCATGACAACAAAGAGCTTTTCTAAAATCACGTCATCAAATACTTACGAAGATAATTTTGATATTTTTTCTCGTCACAAAAGTCAATGAAAATTTGCAAACAACTCTCCAGAAAGTCTGCTTCTTTTAGCTGTATAATAATATCATTTTCAAAAACCTGAAATATAATACATACACTTATTTACTTATTTAATATTTATCTTCGTCATAAAACCATAACCGCGTGGTTTTCCCAAAATGTGAATTTACTAATCGTATATTTACTCAATAATTTATAATTATTATGTTTGATATTGGAAAATGACAATCATATTTCTTCCTTTATTCAGCATTGCTCCTTATCTGACTTGAAGATGAACAATTATTTTTTAAAGAATTAAATCACCAATTTCAGATAAGATTATATTTACACACTTTTAACATCTCGAACAAGGTATCAAGGGTTTATTACAAAAGAGTGCTGCCGACCTTATTGTTCTTGATGTGTAATATCAATTGGGTGTATGACGAATGAAAACTATTGCAGCTAATCTAGGACAATTCACGAAAACTATTGTCGTTACGTCAATCTCGATGCTCAATAGACATCAAACAAACATTCCACAACGATTTTTTTATTGTGCCGCTTTGTCATTTGATAAAATATCTTCATATTAAATACACATAATTTAATGACTGATTCATTTCGATGATAAATTCAATTTCATGTTCCAGAATACTAGTTCTTATCCTCATTGAACATATGCGAGGAATCGCTTCCAAGTAATTCTCGAAACTAGTAGCTCCGCAGAGTTTACTAATATTCATAATCATTTGAACTCATAATATTACACAGATTTTTTTTCATAGATAGCGCAATAAACTTTATCAAGGAAAAACCAACGCATAGACAAGACAATGTCTTCATTAAATTAAATAAGTTAGCAAATACATGGCGTAGGTGCAAATAAATGTTAACATAACGTTAAACTGTTTTGTTAACCATGTTAAACATTTAGAATCGTACGTAAACTCTAAAGTGCATGCAAAGCAAAATATTCAAAGCAATAAAGGTTTTATTCTCAAACGAATAATTATGCGCATAACTTAGCATGTGTAAACAGCATTTCCTTTTGTAAACTACGAATGTAACTTAAAAATTTGATTTAAATATTTTTACCGTTAAGACTACTTATTTCCAGACTATGTTCTACATCTATGTCAAATTATATCGAGATCCGTTGTACCATTCTGGAGATACGATTAGGAAATATCTATCCATCCATACATCCAAAATTTTGCATTTATAACATTACTAAGACTAGTAAGATTTACAATTTGTTGAACGATTCTGAGTATAAAATAAGCTACGAAATATATATTCCACACTGTTTTCCTAAACTCGCACTGATCGTATATAAATTGCGTAAAGTCGTTCGTCGCTTTCTGTACTTAGCTGGTCAACCAATAGAATATAGACTGAATAAAATAGTCTACATTTCGGAGCTAAATTAAGAATAGTTAATATAAGAGCAGACAAGACCAAGCTAGTAACTTGCCGTCTTATTTCCTAGGATGTTGTTGCGTTATGAATACGTAATAAGATTTTAGGAAAGTTAGCTTTTAATGCCAAGGGCATAAAGTATAAACAAAATAAATCCAGTTTTAAAATAAATATTTATCTCTGACGTAAGTTGGTTTTTGTTTTGACTTGATTTTGAAACAATTTACACATTCAAGTTGTTTTTGTAGATTTTCACAAATAAAACAATTTTTATGGCAATTCATATATTTCAGATTCTTAAACAAATATAATTTAAACGAAGAGATAATTACCATAGTACTTATGGTAATCCTTTTTAGTTGTAGAGAATTTTTAATACTGATTAACTTAAAAACAACTTGTTATTCGACGTAGGTTTACCAGTGACGTCTTATTTACTTTTACATTATACATCTATGTTTTTTTTATTATATTTAATTCGTGAAGACATAGAAAATTGATAATTTTGTCACATAGCTTATCTTCAAAAAGTTAAATACAGATTAAGACAAAAAATATTTACTTTAACCCAGTTTTATAGTCACGTCTTTTCAACAGCTTTAACAAGCGCATACATTCCCCTAAATTGAAAAAAAATGGCTAATTCACAAAGTTGAAACAACCTTCATTAGACAGCTTTTCTTGTTTTTCGTCTTGATTCAGTTTTATTAAAAACAAATTCTTGTAATGACGACTATTACCGCATCGTTACTTCTAAGCTGGTTTTACAATGGTTTAAAACTTAACCATATTCCGCCTTTATTCTTGAGCATAACGCTGCGAGGATCGTAATGTATCGTTGGCGTGGTTCTAGCGCAAGGCTGCACTTGGTACCCGCTCAACACGGCCGCCAGACCGGCAGACACGATCAGCTGAGCGAAACGAGCACCTAAAATGCAAATAATCACTTAATACTGCGATTAGAAATTTAGATTTAGAATATTCACTTTCGAACTGATAGTGAATTAATTTAAATAAATCAAAACATATAGAGCGACAAAGTTATCTGACCCAGTGGGCATACGTCTGTGCCTGAATTATGATAGGTCACTAGCTCACCCTTTCAATGTCAAAAAAGTGTCACAAGATCCTTGTTGTACCGTAGCTATCTTTTGTCATATTCCATGTTTATAGGTTTTACATATTTTGACAGAATTAACCGCGAAAGCAGACCAGATAAGCATGTCGCACTATAGTTTAATCGTATTTAATCTATAAAAATTGACACTGGAACGGTACGTTTGTGTGAACGATACATTCATAAAAATAAAAACACTAATTCATAATAAATCATTCAGAATATAAATACAAAGTGATCCTATAAGGGTTCCGTTTTTTTTCCTATGAGGTACGGAACCCTAATAACGACATTACATCGGATATCGCAATCCTTTAGTTTAAATGTTTGAATGTTTTGGTTTTTCATGCATGTTTTATATAAAGGTTTATGTACTCTTAACATATATATATATATATATATATATATATATATATATATATATATATATATATATATATATATATAGTCCTTTGTTAAGATTACATATATCGTATAATTCAGTACTATTATATGACATAATTATTATCTGCACAAGTTAACATTGTAGTAATTTATAGATTAAACTTGATAAATAAATTATATTGCGAAGTACCCAAAACACTAGGTTATGACTTGTAACGATAAGTGCATTAATTCATCATGATGAATCATGATCAACGCTGTTGCGGATCATGATTATGATACGATAATCACACAAACAGTGTTATCACTAATAATTTTATTCATAAAATTACTAAAGTAACTCAATAATCACTGGCTGGCACATACCATGCGGTGTATGGAGTTTACATTCCTTATTGAACACACCGCAGGCATATTGTTTGCGCAATGTTTAAATAACATAGAACGTTTTGTCTCTGAATGAACATCATTGTGTGAATTCACAGGATTTGCTCAGCAAACAATGGGCTATTAAAGACAGCAATATTATTATATTTTTATGAACCCAATTCAACAAACCATTCGTTTTATTTTACGTTATTATTTATTTACAAACTCAATGTAATTACTAAATTGAAAGTAGTTTTAGACAATACTTATTAGCTTTACTTACCAGGACAACTACGAGGACCTTCTCCAAAAGCCATAAAAGCTGGTGGATTAGAATCTTCTTTAAATCTATCCGGATCAAATTTTTCAGGATCCGAGAAGTATCTAGGATCTTTCTGTATACAATGCAACGGGATAAGTACTGCGTCTTTTACTTTCACATTGAGTTCGCTCGACAGAGTGCATGGCGCCGTGCACAGGCGCGTTGTGAGCGGCGTGGGGGGATGCAGTCGAAGAGTCTCCATCGCCGTTTGGACCACCAAACGCATCGCACACACTGCATCGTAATTCAATCCTCCGTAACGTTCCGTACAATCTATTATTTCTTGTCTCACTTTATTCTGCAAATCGGGATCCTTCGCCAGTTCATACAAGCAGAATGACAATGTGGTCGCCGATGTTTCTAAACCGGCTAACATAAATATAAAAGAATTGGACGTTATCAATTCATCTGACATATAAAATTCAGTTTCAGTGTTTTGCATGTTTAACATCAGTTGTATAAAATCGTTCCTCTGTACTCCCGTCTTGCGCCTTTCTTCTAGGACTTGACTAATAATATTTGTAAAGAAAGTTTCCACTTCCCAAGAGTAAGTTCTGAGATTCAAAAATTTAAACAACTTCGGGAAGAAAGTCCGACAGTAACGTTTCAGTACAGTAGTACGATCCGTCTTGAACATCCTCTGTGACATCGCTAAGAAAGGTGAATCAGGATTTTTCAAGGAGCCGGGATCGACACCGAAGGCGCAACTGCCTATTACATCTGTTGTAAATCGCGACATTAATTTCGGAACATCGACATCGTCCAACGCTTCTTGAGACAGAGCTATTTTAAGAGAATTTGCACAGTCTGCAACGAGAGGGAACATCGCTTTCATTTTGGCGGACGAAAAGGTCGGTGTTACTATGTGTCGCATGGCTTTCCATTCGGCTCCGCTCATGTTTGCCAGGTTGCGAAGTAAAGGTTCTCTTTGAGTGTCAGTCGACACCGATATTCTGTCGCTGAAGCAGGCAAAGTCTTTAATAAAAATATTCTTGACAATATCCAAATCTATAACAAACAGCGTCGGTCTTCTAGCTTGAAAAATACCAACATATTTCTCTTCTCTAAAGGTGTCGTAGAAGAACTGAAGCATGTTGGTGTAACTTCGTCGCATTGTCAGCGTCGCACCAAAGTTGCCGAAAATGGGACATGGCTCTCTGTACGGCACTTTTCTGTGGAGCCAGTATTTTCTCCCATTTGTAGTAAAGTGAAAAATTGTCAACAAAACAATTAATAAAAGTAATATAAGTAGGAAAATTACACTCAACCACATTATAACTCCGTGCACACTGGTCGTTTTTTTTATAGTTTTAAGTTTGAAACACGAGAAGGAACCGAAAGCCGGCGAAGTAAACAAGGAGCGCGCGAGCGGCGTGCGCGGTTATGGTATGTAGATGTACGACCGCGGCGGCCGGCACTCGAATGAGCCGAATCGCGTTAGCAGCGGCGCACCGAGCCTCAGATAAGCTTTACGTTCTGACGCTCTCAAGGACGCGATTGTTGACAGTAGACGCGATGCGCCCGTGACTTGAATGCACCCGCATCAAGCAATCAAGTCAACTTACAAAGCTTTTAAACACTTTTACACATTTAATTATTCCCATTCATGTATGCCACAAGCTTTATAATTGTGTCGAGAAATCAAATCCATGTTTTGTTACTAAAAGCCTGTGAAATATTAACTGACCTTCATTAACAGATAAAAAAGACAGTCCTCCAGTTCAATGAAATAAATATGCATTAAAATCATGGAAAACTTATTGTAGTTTTTAAAAGCGAACTAAACTTGGGCCGGTCAACTAGCGTTCGCTGCAAGCTATTGTGTTCCAAAACGAGAATTATACATGTAATAAGAAACATACCTCGCATTCCTTGGCTCAGTATGGAGACGAACTCAAATGTAGAACTTTGAAATGTATTTTTGACTATAAGTACACACATTCATAATAGAATTTAAACGATAACGTGAGATTTCCATTGATAAAGGTATTAATGATGTAGTCAATTATACATAGAACTTCTATTCCAAATAACAATGTCCTATTCCACCTGCAGACATTTTGAACAATACACACGTAAAATGATGAACAATAGAACATCAAAAGATTACGGGAAACAATTTAAAAACACTTATAGATTTGCTCAAGAAAAAATACATGTCATCTATAGTGTGTCGCGCCTGACGCCTATAAAATATCAAATTAATTTTGTATGACGATTAATGTTGTACTTAATGGGCGGTAGTTATAGTGTCGTACCATACGTGGATAACGAACAAATATGAAATATCGAGAATCGGTCTTGTAATAAGATAAATCGAACAAATACTATAAATAAGTTATTTTATTACTTTTTGAATTTCTCACAGCTATTTGGATGTCTCGCACGATTAACTAAAAAAACACACAATATTCGGTTGTCAACTCTACAATATTTAGTTTAATGTTTTATTTCTTTATATAGTTTTGAATAATAAAGTAGGCATAAGCTAATCAATTTTATTGATATTGTAATTCTAAATCAATAATCATGAAATTTTCGATTGCAAGGTATAGGTATATACCTTCATAGAAGAACCATCGAAAATTGAATTGTCAACAAATCTATCTTAATTAGACACACTATAGTTTTATGACTATGGATACAAGTCATAACACTTGGCCGAAAAACGATTATTAAAAGTTAAGATTAAACATTGAGAAACATAAAGGAAGTGTTACACTTACAATTTATGTTTCAACATCCGTAACAACAATGAATGAACGCAAACCACCGGCGGATGTTAGTATAGAAATATAAACATCATGAAAATACTGTAATATTATTTGAAAAGGAAATCTAAAAGCGATCTACGCAGTTGAAAACGCAATATAATAAATAATAATTGAATAACCAGTTTCGTGTTCGAAAGAGAGCGGGAAAATCCAACTGTTATTTACATATGAGGAAAATGTTCAGTAGGTCAATAGAAGTGTTTAACTGTTATTCACGTTATAGACTTTTACACGGGTGGACATAATACTTAAAAAAAGGGTCTTGACAGACAGACGGATGGACAACAAAGTGATCCTATAAGGGTTCCGTTTTTTTCCTTTCGAGGTACGGAACCCTAAAAATAAAAAGTATCACTCAGCCTTGGCTTTGTAATGATTTTAACTTATCTTACTGTTATAAATGCAAATGAATTAATGAATGTTTGTTAGAAAGTATCTAAAGAACGACTGTATAGAACAAAAATTGTCTTATAGAAAGCATAGGTTACTCATGTAGTTTTTTTTTTAATTCCGTGCGGGCGGAGTCGCGTACAGAAGCTAGTTAGGAATAAAAGTCGAATATCGTATCTCTTAATGGTCCCATCACGGTGGTCTACCATCTTTATAATTCGAGTCACGAGCAATAGCGGTTGCAGCAATTCACTGTCGACCACAATGCTCTCCTATTTAGGCACATAACTCATCTTTTTGACATACACATGTATTGTTTATGAAATGAATGGGTAATTTAATAAAGTCTAGAAGATAACGGTCTCTGTTATCTTATAGCGCATCACAAAAAGTAGTTTAATTAATCTATTGTGCATCATTAATTCCGTTATGCACAAAATGTAAACTAAAAATCTTACTTCTTCTTACGAATAAATGCGAAAGTTTAGATGGATGGATATTTGTTAGAAGGCATCTCCAGAACGGCTGTGTTGATATCGCTGAAATTTGTAATAGATGTAGAACATACCCTGGAAGAACACATTGGCTACTTACTTAGTTTTTTTTTGTAATTCTACGCGGACGGAGTCTCAGGCGACAGCCAGTATTTGTTATACTAACAAAATCGTAATTATACTTTCGGTACACAAAAACATACTTGTTGTTCAGAATTCAACTTTTACTTTTTACTTGTATTCAAAAATAAATATTTTGTTATAACGTATATTTTCAAGTAGTTGCTAGTATCTTGATCTTCTATTACGTGATACATTTTATTTTTAGCTTACTTAAGTTACTTAAATGCGTCACAAGGTTATTAACATTGATTACTTGTTACTGTTTGTTATTCCGTGTTGTTTCTTTAAGTCATCAATTAATATGGAATGATTATTCTTTTTTAATAAATTATTTACATTGAAAAATAATCTTACTTCTTATCTTACTAATAGTATAAATGCGAATGTTTGTAACGCCAAACTCCATGAAACGTTAAAAATGCTTAAAATTGGTTGGTTTACTTTATTTTCTTTAAATCCCACGCGCAACAGACACTCTTACTTATTACTAATATTATAAATGCGATTATTTCGATGGATGGATGGAGGATTATTTGACGGTACCTCCAAAACGGTAGTATGGATCTCGCTGACATTTGGCATAGATGTCAAGCACAGTCTAGAAGAATGTATAGGCTACTGATTAAGCTTTTTTTAAACCGCGCGGACGGAACCGCGGCAACAGATAGTATATCTATAAAAGTGTACTTACAGTAGAGTGTGGTGTGGAGCGGGCAGTGACAGCGGCCAGCAGCGAGGCGGCCGCAGCGCGCACGATGTTCGCTTCACCACATCGCAGCAGAATGTTCAACGCGTATTGACATATTGACTCGCTCGATATACCTTTATAATTTTGATCAATAACTATTCAAAATTTGTAAAATTTTTCCCCTCAAGAGTTTAAAACAATAATAGGGAATAGGGGATGAAAGTTTGTAAAGTGTTTTATAAGTCGTACTAGTTGTCGCCCACGACATCGTCAGCGCGGTATTAAAAATTAAAAAAAAACTAGTACTCACAGACGTTTCGCTCCTATTGGTCGCTGCGTAATTTTACACAGCCTAAATTCCATTTATAAAGCCTTCCTTTATAAATGAACATTACAACAAAAAATATTTTTTCCAATCGAACCAGTAGTCCCTGAAATTAGCGCGTTTAAAGAAACAAACAAACTCGTCCGCTTTATAATATTATATAGATAATAAAAACGCTACCAGAAGACAGTATTTTAGGTGGACGATGTCGCGAGCTAGTTCACAATAAGTTTAAATGTTTTGTGTGAATATGTAGTGAAGGTCATACATTGCAAGATATGTGGCAGCAGCTGCGTGTATTGTGTGAGCGCGGCCATGACGTGCAGCGCGGCTGCTCGCAGGCTCGCGCGCTCGCAACGCACGCACGCCGCGGTCGTTTGCAGTGCGCCGCCGCACCACGCCTCGCTCCATCTCTATTGTAAATTAAATCAATACTACTAAAAACAAAACTCTGTAACACACTATGAAAGACAACGAATCGACACTTCAATCTTCAAAAACTTTAAGCTACAGATTACTAGAACGGATTTTATTCGCCTGCGTATTAGAAGACAAAGTATCCTATTTTAAAAATATAATAATTACACTTAACAATAGTCAAAAGTCTGATATCTTTTATAATATCAAATATTGATAAAATACTAACAATTAGTAATGCACTCGAGGCGGTTTGCATTTTATGGACTTGGATGAGATAATTTTAATCTCGAGAGTTTTATATATACGCGTTATAAATTATTTCAATATAAGTTATAGTTCTTAAATTGAGTATATAATAAGTTTACCTTTTATACATTCCCCTAGAACTCTAAGAAAAACAATTAAAAAATTATATTCAGTTTTATTCTGTTGTTTTTTCTATGTGTAGTAAACAAATCAAATAGGTGAACTTTACTAGTGTCCGATACGTGAAGTATTTTATCGTCAAGCCGGAACCGAGAACGTATGTAGGTCATGTTTTGCTTTAATTTAGTAAAGAGATAACAACTGTTTTATTTACATATTACACGAGGTTTGATGACAAAATGAAGGTACAAAGATTTCAATACGAGTATGAACTAAAGACTAAAAAAAATGTATAAATAGTGTCATGTACGAGTCAAATCATATAACTCTTTGTAACGTTGTCTAATATAAAAGTATTTTTTAATAGTATATTGTAAATTTTCAGTGCAATTTAAAAAAAAAATACATACTGATAACGATCAAAATGAACATAAAATAAGTTAAAATACCTGTACGGGAACATCATTTTCATATATTTGTCTGAGTATTGCCATCAAAGCGAGCAGGGCGTCTTCCTTACAACCCTGACTCTTAAAGCCACTTCCCACTCCGCAGTTAAAAAATGTCTTTGTCAATATATTTAGCGCTTCAATTAATGTGTCTTCAGATAGATGGCAGTAGCGAGAATACAACGCATATCGAATACACCGCATCACCTCGTTTAGATATCCTACAAATATATACTATTAGACAAACAATTTTTTAACAATTATAAAATATAGTACTAAAGTAGTCGGGTTGTAAATATGTTCAAGTAAAAGTATGAATGGATGGATGTTTTTAGAAGGTATCTCCAGAACGGTTGCATAGATCTCGGTGACATTTGTAGAACATAGTCTGGAAAAACAGATAGGCTACTAGTTAAGTTTTATTCACATGTAGTAATTTATTAACCTGTAATTTTCATATATTTTCTAAAACAGGAACTAATACGATACATTTTTACATGACTAGCAAATAATAGCTTGTACGTGCAGTTTCATCTCATCAGTATTACAAGGGCGACAAACTTTCTGTAACTTTACCTTGCATATGAAAATTTTTCATATCAATATTTTCCAGACAAGACAACAAAATCTTCAGCAAGCTCTCCATACGCTTATCATCATATTCGTCCTGGATATCAAGCAGTCTTACACATCGCCAGATAACCTTAACTATGTGAATATGTAGCTGGATAACTTCTATATCTTCTTGCGAAGTTTGTTGTGGATAGAGACGGTCACGACTCAATAGAGATATCACAGCTACGTCGTTACATATGAAATACGATATGATCCAGCTCATAGTTGTACCTTTAACAAAAGAAAATTCATATTAACATGTGTAAGACAATTAAAATAATAGAGCAGACAACAACGTATAGAAATGTCTCTTTTCTTACAACTTATGTATTACATAATAAAATGTAGCAATTCCTAGTATGGTTCATTTCAAATATCTTGGCGGTCCAGTATGCAACCCGATAAGACCTACTACAATTCAAATTGTGTACTACGCAGGGACTTGCGTGCAGTTAACAGCTGCCAAGATATCTGAAACCTACTATAAAAAGAGCCACGAGGGACATCTGTATTTAAAAATTAATTTGCTGGTAGTTTACTTACGGTTGGAAGGTACATTATCCATATAAGAGATAATGAACCGTAGCAGAGCTATGAGCAGTGCGGTGTCATTGGTGGAGGCGGGCGGCGCGCATAGGAAGCGACGAATGTGTTGCCATGGCAATGCACCATACTCCTTTAGACTTGTCGACGAACTACACACCAGCGTTGCGTGACTGTTCAACAACCAAACTTATTTGAAACCATTTAAAACAAGTAAAATCTCACTCTACAATGTATATTTCATCTTTGCCATGCTCATTTACCGTCTCAGTTAAGAAGAGACAATAAACCATACAATTTATAAATCCTAAATGCGTATTTACTTACCTCTGTAGCAATGCGAGCGCTTCCAACACTTGTGCATGTGAGGTGGCGTTCTCCAATGCCAGCAGACCTTTAGTGGTACTATGTATGACGCAGGCGCTGCGCATGAGTGCCAGGTCGTGCGGGGCGGGCGCGGGCGCAGGCAGCGGGGGCAGCGCGGCGAGGGCGGTGCGTACAGCACGCACACCCCCCGCCCACGTACACCACCAACGTATACGTACACAACGGCGCCATTCATCTTCGCTTAGTAACCATTCTAGAAATTATTCTCCAATATAAACATACATTCAAGTAATTATATGATTCATAATTGTAGTTAAACTAACCCAAAGTACAATGTTCTGCGTTAGGACTCGTGTTCCAATAGCTGTTTACATGATACGGTAGGGAAGTACGTTCGGTGACACAGTGGGGCAGCGCGGGGACCTTCTGCCGCGAGGAGTCGATGTCCTGCAGCACGAAACCCGACCACGCTACCAGAGACAAGATCTGAGCCGACATCAACACGCACGACTCGTTGGACGGGAACGCGAGGATCACTGCAATTTAATATTTTTGAAAATCCGAATCCTTTAAATACCACGCAAAAAGTTTTATGCTGTGTTTTGAAATTAGTTTGAAACAATATTAAAAAAATTAACCTCTCAGCAAAAGTAAAGGCAAATCCGTAATCTTGACTAAATTATGTCGGCTAGCGAAGCACACACTATTTAGAACAGAGACGCAACTGATGGCACATTCTGGAAACGCCAAATAATCCTCTACCATCAACGATAATCTGCAATAAAATATATATAATTGCACTTTCCAGCAAGACGTTTGCGTAATATCTAATATGTTAAATCGTACCTAAGTAAAGACACGACAAGATTAACTCCGTCATGTTGTAGGAAAACATCGTGGGAGTCGTGTTGACGCAGCAGTACCGCCAGCTGCTGCAGCGTACTACGTCGCAGTGAGGGCTCGAGTCCGGGCCGCGACGTATTCGCCACGTACGTCTTGCCCACGCCCTCCCAACGCAGATCTTGTTTCAACACTTCCAATATTTGAACTAAACCTGCAGTCTAACACGAAATAAACTATTTTAAACACTTATTGTAGCACCATAACAATCCTGGGAATTATAAATAATTGACTATTTACCTGAGGACTCTTCGTGAAAGAGGAGGAGGAGTCCAAATTAAATTCCTCCGGCTCCACTCTTCGTAGTGCATTCAACAATAAATCAGAACGGAGTGATTCTCGAGGGGGCAAATATTGATCATCATCTGAAAATAAATCGTCGCTTTATTCAGATGCCAGATTCACTACAATAAACAAAGTTTAGTTTTTTTATTCAATATATTACAGATAAATTTTAATAGAGAACAAACAAACCTAAAAGACGACATAACGAGTGCGCCGCTTCCAACTGTACAACAACGCATTTGACAAACAAAAGCCTCGCCAAGCCGCTAACCATCTCCGCAAATGAAACGCCCATACGTTCCACTATATCGGGTTCAAGAGACTTGCATATCGCTTTTCCTTAATAAAAAACAAAACATTAAAATGTAAACAACATATATCTTACTAATATTATAAATGAGATGTTTGAATGCAAGTATGAATGGATGGATGTTTGTTAAAATGTCACCTTGGATCTCGCTAGAATTTGGCATAGACATAAAGCATAGTCTGGAAAAACACGTAGGTTACTATTTTTTTTAGTGTCGCGAGGAAGGAGTCGCGGGCGACAATGAGTCCAAGGTATAAAGAGAAAAAGGAAATTGACGTACCTATAGGTGTGTCATGCGCGGCGTACACGTGTAATAGCGGTAGGATTGGCAGCAGGCTGGCCAGCAGCCGCCACCAGCAACTCTCGCTCAGCACCAATCTACCGCGGAGCAAATACAGCATAATCTCTGATGCACTCGATTTTACCTGAAAATATCATATTTATTTAAAAAAAAACTGAAAACCTTTTTTTTATATTCATTTATTTAAAAAAAAAGTCCACGCGTAAATAAAAAAAACTTAATTAGTAGACCCATGAAGCTGTTCTGCAGTTACCCTCTAACAAACATCGATCCATCCAACATTCGCATTTATAATTAATTTCGACAAGAAATCTTGGACTAGTAATGTAAGATATGTACCTGTTCTAAATTCGATGACAATCCATGGCAACAAATTTCAGTTAAGATACCGACATCACAAAGCAACATCAAACACTGCTCATGTTCACTCTGATAAACCTCATTACTGAACAAAATCGAATTCACCATAACCTCCAACTTTTGATAAAACTTCACTTTAACCCATTCTATATTATGAGACATTAACTTCAGTGCGATATTCCTGACAACAGACCAGTCATTGTCATCAGACAAATTATTTGTCTTCATTAATAAAATATTGCAAATATCCTCCAAGAAAACTTCACTGTGTTGCAAACCGAGAATTGGAATGGAATTTTGAATTTCCTTTAAAACTTCCTTCAAATTTCTATCAATATTGTTATTCTTCATAAATTTAACTGCAAAATCCATACTCGTGTATAACTCTTTGAGTGCTTTATATTTATTTTTGTGTTCTTGATCTAAAGCTGATTTACATTTCTGAAAATAATTTATATAATAACTGAATGTAAAGTAGTGGTTAAAATAATTTTACATGTCATTTTGTGGCTTACCGAAAGAGTATCATTGATTCTTCTACTCAAGTCTGGGTAAAGGAGTTCAATTACTGGATCCAACTGAGAGGCTTGCAGTGCGACAATCATTGAAGAGGGTGGTAAGGGAGATTTTTTAGCCCAATCAAGAAGTTTCTCAGCAATAGACATCAATCGTAACCAAGCTATCCGATGATGATCTCGGTCTGTATTTTCCATAAAGGATTGTCTATACAAGAAAACTATGTATATATTTAACTTATAACCAATAGCATTTATTAAATATTTATTGAAATTATGCCGTCAAAAGACATATATATCATGTTATTTTTTACACTATAGTCTTAAATAAATAAACTCACCTATATTTTATTAAAAGGTCACCTAACATGCGCATTAACATGCACGTCTTATGCGCTATGTCCTTATGTGTTTTGTAACTATGTTCCGCTATCCAGAATTGTTCAGAAACACATTTTAACAATAACTGAATAAGTGAATCAATCAAATCCAAACATGTATTTAATTGTCTCTGTGAAAAAATATATTATTATACAATTGACCACTAATAACTACCACACCAAAATTTGTTGGATATACAAAGTTTTCATTCTATATGAATATTTTATCTGAACTAAGGGAACTATTAAATGACTATAGTAGCAGAATGAGTGTGGCAGTAGCTTAAAATTTTTTCGCAAAAAATAGTACTAACCATGTTTAGAACTTCGCTTTCATTAGGATCTAATAAAGCAATGCTTCTGGACATTATAGATAGTACTGAATATGCAGTGTTTAAAGCAAAAATTGGTGCAGGGATCTGTCGGAGAGGTGTTATTGAGTCCTCCGCACCTTGTAGGTTAAATCCACCTGCAATTTTCTCCAACTCAGCATTCACTTCATCATATGATTCTTTTACTTCTATAGACACCTAGAAATACACGAAATATTAAAACAATAACAAGTAACAAGCACTAAACATGTAATTATTTATCATTCTTTTGAAAATAAGCCTATATTAACTTCAAACTGTTCAAAAATAAAATTCTACACACTTCAGAGTTTACTGAGTTTACTACAATTTCTGTAGTAAATGTATAGTAGTTTTCAGATTTCTTGACAGCTCTGAACTTTACATGACTTGGAACACAGAATAACTATGCCCCGCCAAGATATTTGAAAAGAACTAAAGACATAGAATAAATATCTTACCTTATTTTTAGTATGAACTAATTCAATGGAGAATAATTGTTCAAGTCTCTGATGTAAGGCATGAGTAATACAGCGCAAAACATACAGTGCTTCTCCGGGATGACTAGTTTTTTGTCCATCTGCCATCATCACCAGTGTCTTTAAAAGTATATATGTAAAATGAAATTGAATATTGAATATATAATTATATGTTTAAGTATATATCATACATACATTTACAATAGTAGGCCTATTAAGAAATATTTCTGGTGGAAAGTCTTTTAAAAATACATCACATATGAACCTACAGCATCTTCTTATTGATTTCACTACTTTCAATGCATCTTCTAGCAAAACAATTGTCTTCAAATCAGATGGACAAATATCAACCCAGGGGAATAATAATACTTTGATACCATCTGATGTCATTGACCTGGAAAAATATATTGAATATTTTAATTCACTTGAACTAACAAAAAATTAATGAGTATCCTACATTCTACATCTGTGCCAAATTTCACCAAGATCCATGGATATGTTCTGGAGATACTTTTAAACAAACATCTATACATCCATCCATAGAAAGATTTAAAATTTATAATATTATAATAGTAAGAAATAAGATATAAGAACTTGACAGTAGCATACTTACATTGTTGAACTATTTGCTCTCCTATCATATTTCAAGCTGAATAAGTCTTGCTGGTTAGTCAAGTCCTCTTGGTGAGGTGAATTATGATAATCGCCATTTAACCCCTGTGTACTTTCAGAACTGTAATAAAAACCGTGTTTGTTAGAAATATAAATAAAAAATTTATAAAATTATAGAAAAAGATGTAAAAATGGAATTTAAAAGAATAAAACTAACATAACCTTGTACTAGATCCCAAAATAAGTGGTGGTACTAAATCATTCTCCGACTCCACAGTTTTTAAGAAATACAATGTATCAACCACATCATCAAACAAAACCAATGCTTCAGTATCTACTTTATTCTTTATTTCCTTTAAGTCATTTAGCATTTTATTAATACCCATTTCTTTAACAATATATGATCCACTCTTAGTCTGTAATACAATGAAGTAGAAAATATTAATATCAGTTATAAATTATTTTTACATTCATTACTCAATTATACCAAGCAGGTGATACTAGCCTTAATTGCTGTTAATAGAAGACATAAAGCTTCACATTGCAAAGTTGGTTTTTGAACTTGAAACCATGCCAACAAACATTCCAAGAGTTTCCGAGTAGAAGAAAGTTCATCTTCCAACTGCCATCCCAATTTCAATTTTTCTGTTAATAATTGCAGTGATCTCTCCCTTATTTCTTTTAACGGGTGATCTGTTATTTAAAATAAGTTATTTTAAAACAAGATATTTTTTGGGTTATTGAAGGGGCTTTGCTATTGAAATTTCAAACTTGTCAATAAGGTTTAACCGTTAGGGCCGTAAATATACATTTAAAATAAGCGTAAGTAAACCCTTGAAGTGTTAAACACAAGCAATAGCAATAGAATTAACGATAAACCACTCAAATGTAAATTAAACCGTACCCAGTTTTTTAATGTAACTTGATAATACTTCCATTGAACCGATCTTAATTTACAAAAGGCAACTTTCAGATTTCTAAGACGAAATATAATTCGTTTATAAGAAATCGTGTTTAATCTTCGAATTGGAACATATTTTAGAGGTAAAATAATATAAAGGAAGAAAAAATAATGGTTTATAAACCGTTATAAGTTCTGTAATTCAGTCCTGATTGACTTTGACATAAACTAAATGAAAACATTGCTGCAAAACATAAACAAAACAAAACGTAACCTGATCACAAAATCATCACTTATTCTTTGTGTGTCGTATTTGACAATTCCCCAATAAGATATGACCTAAAGGTCTATGTTACCAGGTCATAAAATAAAAAAAAAATTAAAATTCCTCACATTGGTCAATTTAAATGTCAACGTCATTGTCATATTGTGCTTTTGACGATTTCAGACGATTTTTAGATTATTTAATAAAATAAAAAGCATAATTTGGGTTTATTTGCTTTCAGAAGCTTTAAACTATTGTATTAATATGTAACTCAGTATAATAATATCATTTAAAGTAATTTAAGTATTACAGATATCAACTATTAAATCAACGAGGTATGTTAATTAAAATGTCTAATTTTACTGATAATTTTACACAGTCATTCAAAAACTTGAGTACTAAATGAATATTATGTTAATTCTTAAATCTTGTAAAATGTATGATTAAAAATGGAATGATGTTTGCCAAAAACTACCAAAATATTATTTACAAAAAGTTATTATTTAAAGTCTTTGCAAAGAAAACTGTGAAAATTTTAATAACATATGCGTTTACAGATGACTGATATTAAAACGTTATTAAAAGAAGCAAGAAAATTAATAGATGAAAAAGCTTTCAAAGAGGCTCAGGAATGTTGTAAAAATATTCTGAGAAAAGATAAGCAGAATTATCTAGGGTTAGTCTTACTGGGTAAAGCTCTAAATGAATCTGATCAAGCTCCGCTGGCATATCAAAAAGCTATTGCAGCAAAACCTGATCATCCTTTAGCATGGGTTGGTCTAGCAAATTATTATGAACAAAAAGATGATGATGTAGCTAAACTGAAACTAATTCCCATATATGGGGAAATATTAAAGCTACAAATAGATGAGGAAAAAGCATTAGAGTGCATTACAAAACTTGGACATCTCGGAATATCATTGAAAAATGGCAAAACACTACTTACATTGGCTGAGTTTATGAAAAATATTCAAGAAGGTAAACTGCATGAAGTAGCCCAAGAAAAATTACTTGTTTTACTTAAAGCAGATATTTTATGCGAAGAAAAAGATATTTCAGTGATTTTAGATGTTCTTACACACATTTATAACAAGGAACCAAATGAATCCTTACAAACATTATGGGGCAAATTAATCTTACAGAAACAAAACTTCAACAATTCCTTGATAGAAGTGATACAACTGCCATTTTTCTCTGAAAATGTTATTTTAAGAGAAATATTATGTAAACATTTGTGTAAAAAATTTGTTGTTAATAATTCCTTTTTAGATTTTCCTATTGAATCTTACTATGAGAAAATATCAACAGGAATTGAAAACTCCAAATATCCAGCTTTGTTACAAAGTATGATATATTACAATAAAGGTTTATACTTTGAAGCTTATAAGCAGTCTGTCCCTTTGATTAATTACCAAGAGGCGGAAGTCACAGAGGCAACATTCATTATTAGATGTACAATAAAGTTAAAGAAGTGGCCAGTGACACAAAAACTTGTTACAAACTTTTTAACAAAAGTAAAGGATGTTGATTTTGCAAACGATTTGAAAAAAATGTTATTTTTGTCTCTTGTTGAACAAAAGAAATGGAAACACGCTGTTAATGTAATCAAAGAATTTCCTATGGAACATTTGAGTATAAGTGAACAGTCTTACTTAGCAAAATGTTTAATTGAAATAAATGAACCAGTTGATCATATTATCCAGAATTTAAAATCAACAGATCACTATTTAGAACTAAAAGCATTATATTATTTGAAACAGAAAATGTATACAGAAGTGATAACATTGCTAGAAAATGAAAATTGTAATACATTACATTTTCTTTATATGGGTATTGCTTATTGGGAACAGAAACAATATGATAAATGCCTCTTGAATTTACTAAAAGCAGCAAAAATGGATTCAGAGCTTCCAGATACATTTTTGTACTTAGGATATTATTATTATTACTATAAAGAAGATTTAAGCAAATCCAAAAAATGTTTTGAAAAAGCATATAGCATAAATAATACTGATGCTAATATTATAAAACATTTAAGTGAGGTTTATTCTAAATTACAATTAAAAAATGAAGATTTTGAATTATTGAATAATGCAAAGAATAGTTTGAAAATGACTGAGTGGATAGACTTCAAATTAGGACTACATTATTTAAGTAGGAGAGAATGGGATAACGCTATAAATAATTTTAGAAATGTTATCAAAATCAATCATAATAATTTGAATGCATTTGAATGTTTAGCTGATGCATATTTTTCTCGAGGTTCCTACACGTCAGCATTAAAAGCCTATAATAAGGTTATATCACTTAGACCAGAAAGAAGCTCTCATTGTTTAACTCGGATTGGGTATATTTACGCTTTATTAACAGAATATGAGAATGCCATTTCAACATTTGAAGCTGTATTGAAAGTTGATCCATCTTCACTATTGGCTCTAAAAGGAATTTCTGAAACATGGTTGAGGATTGCAAAGAAAAAGTTTAATGCTAAATTATATGGTAGTGCAAGAGACACTGCCCAATTTGCTGTGAATTATTTAACAAAAGCTTTAATGATGGAACAAAAACATTCTTGTTTTTGGAATCTGTTGGCTGAGTCTCTTGTATTCATCACTAAATTACCAAATAAATATTCTTTTGTATATATGACAAATACACAGAGTGATTTTGAGGAAGGAGTGGTTAAAAAAGAAAAAAATTGTATTTTTCCACAAATTCTAGCGTGCTATTCTCGAGTTGCAAAACAGAAACAGAAAATAACATCATACGATTTAGCATCTGCTTATCTCTCTTATTATCATGAAACCAAAAATTTAGTGAATTTACAAATATCTTTTAATTTAGCACTTGCTTGCATAAATATGAAACCCTCTGTATGGAGGAACTGGAATTTATTGGGTAAAATATGCTTATTTTTGAAAAAATATGATATTGCGCAACACTGTTTCATCAAAGCTTTATTATTAACACGTAAATGGTCAATAGCAAAGGTATGGTGCAACTTAGGAACATTATATGTAAAATTGCAACTTTCTAAACTTGCCAATTATTGCTTTTGGAGAGGACAATCTACATTACCATCTTATCCTCAAAGTTGGATTGGACAAGGCCTAATAGCAGAAACAATTAGAGAAGAAGAAGCCATGGATCTCTTCCGGCATGCATCGCGCCTCGGGTATCATCCAGAGAGTGCACTCGGCTATGCTGACTGGGTTTGCCGTACCTTAAAGAATGAAGATTGTCAACGCAATACTGAGCTTAAGTATGTTATAGAAGGTCTTCACGCTGTAACCTATGCTATAGATTTGGTTGAGTGGTTTTCTAGTTTCGAGCCTGATAATGCTTGTGCATGTACCATTCTTGGAATATTACAAGAAAGAAACGGCCTTTTACGAAGTGCATTAAAAAGCTATGAAAAAGGTTTTGATAATGCAGAAGATGACAAAAAAAATATTACTCTTTTGAATATAGGCAGAATTCAAGTTAGAATAGGAAATTATGATGATGCTATAAACAGTTACAAGGCCATTACAGAAGCAAGTTTAGACTCTACATGTGGATTAGCACTTGCACTTTATAAAAAAGGTCTGTATGAGGAAGCCTATTCAGCTTATGATACTGCTCTACATTGGCTAAGCAACAATGACAATGAAAAGGCAGATCTTCTTGTTGCCATGGCTGGTATAGCTTACATGTATAAAGGTGCTGATGATGCAAAAACATTACTATTTCATAGTATTCAAATATCACAGAAAAAGCCCACACCTTACAGTTTATTCGCGATTTGCTCATTAGGCATTGCTCACTCTGATCAAAGCTTATCAAAATTAGCTTTAAGTGAGTTACAAAAATATGAGCATGACCCAGATTTTGGCTATGATATAGGATTTTTAAAATCGTACCTAGTTGGTGATGACAATCTTGAATTAGGTATTAAATTGTTAAGTGATTCCCTTCAAAACCACCCTAGTAATGCCAATCTTTGGTTTTGTCTAGCCCAATATTGCTTAAAAGCTGACAAATCGAAAATCGCTAGTCGTTGTGCCCAGCGAGCAATTGTTTCTGCTCGTTATAGTGAACAGGATTGTAATTCGCCAAAAATGCTTGCAACTGCTAGCATAGCAGAACATGTTGCAGGTGACCATACTAAAGCTATGGTTATTGCCAAAGAAGGTCTCCATATGTATCCGTGTCAATCTGAAGTATGGGCTGCAGTTTTACTATCCATATTGAACAACAAAGTTTGGGTAGAGAAAAAAGACTGGATATTAAGAGCTATTGTAAACATGCGACGAAATTTAGACATTTCGAGACCACTAAGCAGGTGGGTTACTTTAATAGAAAAAAAATTAAGCAAGCTCTTACAGTTATGAGATTTATCCACTAAAAATTATATCCAATGAGTTTGAAAATTTGATTATGCTTCTATAATGCTTCATAGAGCTAAGATGGTATTTAAAGGTTTTGTGAAAAAAATCAGGTGTGAGAGACAAGTAATAAACTATTTTATTGTTTATCTTTAATTAGGGTTGTAACCATCAGGTATTCTCTTAAATACAGCCAGATATTTGTCACCATTATTGCGTGTTACTTTTTGTCCTTCCTCTGTGCTTTCATATAATTTATCAACAATTATGTCGGATTTCTGTAAAAAAAATAAAAAACATATTTTTTAAATTAATATTGCAATATCCAGTGTAATTTGTTAGAGTATAAAATTCTTTAATAATTTTAAAAATAATTTGCTACTTTATTATTCAAAATACTTTTTTAAAACGTTTTTATGGAGATTAAACTTTATTAATTTAATGAAATTCAATGCATGTAACATAATATAATACAAATATGAATCTATTCTTTTGTATACAAGGCTAGATCTGGTTTTGCAACTATGCTGATACGGCAATAATATAAATATCAAGCATGTAATCATTTTTTTATGGATCCAATAAAGAT